TCCACAACAGTCTGGCAAAGCAATGACTCCACCCATATGTTGAGTGGTACTTGTCACCTTCAGATAGGAGATATCTATGAGGGCTCTGATGGAGATATAGGAGATTGACAGATGATGATGATGATAGCTCATCCTTATATAAAGCTGTAGTTTGCAGAACTCTTGTCATATCATTAGCATTGTTACTGGTGGTAGATTTTTGAGTCACAGTGATTTTACAGTCCTGTCTACTATATCTGTGACTTTGGTCAAGTTCCTTAATCTTTATGAGCTTCAGTTTGTTTCATGTGTAAAATAGGGATAAACCCTTTACCTTTTTGGAGTTGTATGAGTTAGGTCCTATGATGCCTGGATGCGCCTAGCATAGGTTTAATGAAGATTTCTTTTATACATGTGAACCATCAGATCCTATGTCTTCTGACTCAGATTGGCAGTCACTGCACTTTATCACGTGCTTTCCAGAGGCAGGCACAGTTCCATTTAATAACCCACAAGGCAGGCAAAGGAACCATCCAGTTAGGATGGACACCCAGCCAGACAGAAGGCAATGGATCAGTGCTCTGAGTTGAGATATGGAAGAGAGTATCTTTCATGCCCTGAATGGGGACAATGACAAATGAATAATGTGCTTTTGCTAATCACATATTTATGATTACATATTCATTTATTCATTTAGCAATTGTTTATTTAGTAAGTAGCATATGTCAGGTATGGTGCTAACTGCTGGGAATAAAGTGAATAAGAAATATAATAATTTCTCTAAAACTCATTAACGCTTTGCAAAATTCCAAAGATATAATGATTCCTGTTGGAAATAGAAATTACTTAGTTTGTAATTTAACTCTATGAGATTTAAATCATCTGATTACAGATTACAGAACTAATTATAAAGCTGAAAGGTACATTATGAACTACTTTCTCAGTATAACTTCTTAATATAGATCTTTATTAATGTATTTTTATGTATGCAAATGAAAACTCAGGGTGCAGGTCTATAGTTTAAAAAAAACCTGTTAAAGATAAAGGGCTTAAGTATATGATAAGGCTGTTTTATTGTATCACCCAATTTTCTTAACATCTTCTAGCACTTTCTATATAATTAGTAAAATAGCTGTAACTATTGTGAAAGAAAGATGGTCATTTTTAAAACTGGAAAATGGGGAAAACATGTTGGTGGGAAGGAAAGGACCTCCATTTTGGTATTATCTATTATTCATATTATATTTGTCATCTTCTGGCCAAATTGTACATCTCAAAATTGTACTTAAAAAAAAAGGAAAAAAAACCTAAATAATTTTATAAAATGTTATAATACCAAAGAGTCTGATTGAGTAGTCTGCATTTAAGGTTTGAGAGTGGGGTTTAGAGTTCCTGAGACTTTGGTCCATAGGTTGAGAAAATATAGGGCTTCTGTGTATTCTTGGGGAGCAGTGGTGTCTTCAATCTCCTAGCGAAGTGGGGGACAACCCAAGTGCTAATTTCTCTTGTGGTAAAACAGTCTCTGACTATAAGAAGGAAAAAAGAAGACAAGTATTTGCTCTATTTTCCTAACAAGTGACATAATTTAGTTGTCTAGACAATATTAAATTAACCGCATTGTTGAGCAACCCCTCATCTGATTGTGTAGACCAGATGTGTGCTATGTCTTCAATACTGGGGCAATTTTGAGTGGTAGGAAGAGCAGCGGGTTAGAAGGCAGGCGTTCCAGGTACCAGCCACCCCACTGTTACATCCTGTGATTGGATCTGTGATCACCATGCATTGTTACAAATGTAACACTAGGAAAACCCTGTGTGGTTCACCTCATTATTAATACTCAATTCCAGGAGTCCTTTGTGGCTAGAGGGGGTAGGAAACTTTCTTTTGGTGATAGAAAGTAGAACCCCTTTAAACTCATGTCTCATACCAAACCACTTTTCTTCTAGATTGCCTTTTTCTTCGATGGGGCCATCTTCCTTCCAGTGTTCGAAGCTTACCTCTCTGAAGTTAATTTAATTAAATTAAAAGTTTAATTCCTTTTCTTTCCTCCCCTATTTTCTGATTCTCCTTTCTTGGGAATTACTCTTTCATTTCCCTCCCTCACATTCCAGTTTCTAGGTCTTATTTCAGATCCTTTTTACTTGAGGCCTGCGGTGGTCTTTAAACTAACTTGACAAAGTCTTTCTGCCTCCTTCTCAGTTGTATTAATCAGAGTAGGCTAGGTTATGCTGCAGTAACAAACAATCAGAACATCCCAGTGGTTTAAAACAAAATTTACTAGGAGTTTATGTTACATGGTGATCATAGATTGCAGGAAAAGCATATTGGATGATCTCCTATTGACACGTGTTTGGTATGCCATGCTAACTTTAAGTCGCAGCCACTGGTCATAGGTAGTCACGTGGCAGAATTGTGTAACCCTTTCATGTGCTTTTAACAAGTGGAGAAATGGGTAGTGAGGAGCATTCAAAGGCTTCACTATTCTATCCTGCAGTGAAGGCCAGGTCCTCCAATAAAGGCCAGGGTCCTCCAAGGAAGGCCATTGGTGATACTGTCAAAGCACTTCTTTAAATAAAACATTCCAGTGGTTCCCACTCTCTATCTCTATCAGATGATCTACAATTTAAGCATCTCTAATATTTATTGAATAGCCAATATTTATAAAGCATTTACTATGTCAGTAAGTAAGATTATCTATTATCTTATCTTCTCATAACTATTTTCAAGGCAGCTGTTATTATCCATATTGGACAGATAAGGAAACTGAGGATCAAAGAATGTCCCAGTATGGGTTTCTCAAAATTCAGACAATGTGGCAAGGACTCAGATACCGGGAAGCCCAGTAAGGGAGGGGGTTGTGGTAAGGGCAAGAAAGGAGTGTCAAGAATGTAACACTCTCCCTCTGAGAGACTGGGGGACAGAGCTCAGCTCTCCCTTGTGGGCCAATGGACTGGACAAGTTTTCCTCGTATATGGCATTTGTTGGAGGTTGCTCCTGAGATGTTAACTCTCCAGTGCTTATGGCCTTTCCTGTCCATAAGCCAAGCACATGCTATCAGCCACAACAAAGCCTTTGGCAGAGGTGAGCAAGCTATTTTCTAGAGCAATCTTGGTAATCCCAGGGAATACAGGCATTGGCAGCTTCTGCTATGGAGAGGTGAAGTTACTTGCCCAAGGAATACAGTGAATAAGATTTAAACCCAAATGCACTTGTTCCAAATCCCCCTGTTCACACTGACCTCTCACACTTACTGACACAGGAGGTGGATCTGCGCTTTAGCCCAAGTGGTCACTGATCATTCTTCAAACCGTCTTGTACTTTTTCTTCTCCATGTTCATGCCATTCCTTCCACTGGGAGTGCTCTTTGCTCTGTGCCTCCTATTTAAATTCTGTCCATGATCTCTGCTCAGCTCAAACACTACCTTCTCCATGAAGCCTTTTTTGATCATCAGAAATGCTGCCTTTCACCCTTAACCCTGAAGTGGTGCTTAAACCAGCACTACCTACCCTATACTCTCTTGCATGGAAGGGATGTGTTTATAGGTCTTTCTCTGGATTAGACCAGGCTCCTTGTGAGCCTGGACCATGCTTTATTCAGTCGCTTCAAATGCTCGGTGGAGTCAGATCCATAAATATGACTGTATACATGCATACACCCATCCATATGCAGATTTAGTTCGCTTTCAGTCCATATTGACGGACTTTGCTGAAGGCCACGTTGAAGTCTGGATGTTGGGAGGTTTCTGTTTCTAGGCTAATTTGCCACTGTCAGCTTCTCTACTCAACATGACTTCTGGACTCCATGTGGCACTTACAGTTGCCCCTCCCGTGTAAGGGCAGGAACTGATAACTGAGGACAGGACAGTTTCCAGCAGTTTGCAGCAGGCTCCCTTCCATGTATCATGTCTGGGCAATGCATATCTGTCATTATTCCCATTAGAAATGGGATTGCAATGGAGATGGTTTGCCCATTTCAGGTGACATGATAGGAGAATGCAGTTCACCTTAAAGTGACACTCCACACCAGGGGCGCCTGGGTGATTCATTCGTTTAAGGGTCTGACTCTTGATTTTGACTCAAGTCATAATCTCATGGTTCATGGGTTCAAGCCCCACGTTGGGCTCTGTGCTGGTGGCTAGGAGCTTGCTTGGGACACTCTCGCCCTCTCTCCCTCCCCCGCTTGCGTGCATTCTCTCTCTCTCTCTCTCAATACATAAAAAAAAATTTTTTTTTTAAAGGTGACACTCCAAAATATGCCAAAGATTCCTAATGATTAGGAGGTGACAAAAATCTTTGGCTTTCTTTGGTTCAGAGCTGTGAAAAGGGAGATGACTCAGGAAGGGCTTTCATCCGATGTTTAGAGTTGCCCTTTCGATAGGCTAGGAAAACGGCTGTAACCTGTAGAAGGGGATTCCACTGGCCCTCAGTTTCAGAGAGGCACTCTTGTGGCATGGCTTTCAGATTTCCTCTGCACACTGGTGCCCATGAAAGGAAATAACGGCAGAATAGATGGTCCTGGTCTCATCCATGGTGTCACTTCCCTAGGTTGTGCACCCAGCGGGTTTTGTAACATGGTGATCCCAAGCCCTCCTTATTAATATTGCCATTCAGTTTCAAAATGCTTGGCTAAAAGAGGAACTTCTGGCCACAGATGGTGATTCATTTTAACAAAGATAGATGACTGTTATCTTTTTCCCCCATGGATGCAGAAACAGATTGCATTCTTAGTCAAATCCTTTAAAAAAAAAAACTATATCAAATAATTTGCTAACAATTCCTGTAAAGCAAATTCTTAAATTATGTAGTGGACCAAAAAAATTCATTGTCTTTTATGTGTTTTAAATAAGTTGCCTTTCAATTTCATTAACTACCCATTTATTCTTTTTTTAATGTTTGTTTATTTTTGAAAGAGACAGAGAGTGCTAGGGAGGGGCAGAGAGAGAGAGAGAAAGGGAGACACAGAATCTGAAGCAGGATCCAGGCTCTGAGCTGTCAGCACAGAGCCTGATGCATGGCTGGAACTCATGAACTGTGAGATCATGACCTGAGCTAAAGTTGGGTGCTTAACTGACTGAGCCACCCAGGCACCCCATGCCTTTGTATTCCTATATGGTTGAGTAAAAGTTTGTGTAAGAATGGCTTTGTTGTGTTTCATGTGTTTGTCTCCACTGCTTAAATAGACAGTCTATGAGGCAAACATTGAAAAGAATCAGCAGCTCAGTTGTGAGTACTTGCAAATACAGGTCAACTGCAAGTTTCCTTTTATATCCCAGATTCTGATATCATGTCTCCCCATTTGCTATTCTACATTATCCAAGTACCCACAGTCAATGAATTAATAATTATCTCTTGATTAAAATCACACAGAGATTCTAGATATACCAGAGGGTAGTACACAGGTGTATATGTGTAGGCAATTTAAGTACATTTCACAAAGGTACATGTTGATATTATGAGAGTTTTGTATATACCTGTGTTAGCAGGCTGTCAGGGCTTGGGAGGGTGAGTGGTGCTTAATCAAGGAGAACATTCTGGAAGAATCAAATTCTATGCCAGTGTTAGAGGCAAGGACATAATGCCCTAGAGAATCATATAAACATATGTAATTATTGTACTTGGTGATTTAGTTGGTATTTCTATGGAGAACCATTAACAATTATTTATTAAAAAAATCAATTCCTGCTCTCTGTCTATTCCTCTCACTATGGAACCTATGACAGAGAGTTGTCCTTGCAAAAAGCAGCTCCATTGGAAATCTTTCCTGTTTTTTGTTGTTTTTAGGTTGCAGCTTTTATTTCTGTCTTTGAGCCTCTGACTCCATATGTTTTTCATTTCCACTCAGAAGAGTATGAACTGCTATTGACTGAGGACTTCCAATCTAATAAGGCTTTTTGTTTTTAACCTTTTAATTTGTCTAGTGTTTCACACTAGGAAGACCCTGGGCTTTCTAATCTGGTTGTATTATGGTTGCCCTCCTATGCCATGTGGTGGCAATGCAAGCTCGTTCTGCTTGCCATGCGATGGGCTAGTACGCTCAGAGGCAAGATGCAGGGGTGAGCAAAGTCACTCTGTGTGGAAAGGCAGCAAACTGAGGAGATGGTGGACTATTGTCCCAAAGAACCATCTCTCCCAGCACAAGATTTGAGCTTCTCTTATGTTAGAAGGGGGGACGTGGGAGGGAGTTGGAGTCAAAAGATAACTGGCATTTATGGACATCTGAGAAAGGTCTTCTTTGTCGTTGGAGAGTTCGTCTTTGCCTACAGGAATCTGGTAGTGTCCTTCCTGCAAATCTTAAAAATAGCACAGTCATTTCTGTATCCTTATTTTCTTGAGTGAGGTAAGTATTGGGTAAAAGAGCAGGTTTTTTGCAAATCTCAGCTGTAAGCAAAATTCCTTCAACAATTAACATGCTTACATGTAGGGTAAAGTTGAAGGTTCTAAGCTATAGGTCACTGCAGCAAGGGAAATAGAAGCAATATGGAGTCAGACATGCTAACTCCCTGTTACAGGAAGAACATGGGATCTGAATCGGAAGACCTGGGTTTGAGTCCTGGCCCTTTTACCAGTCTCAGCTGTGTGACTTTTGAAAAGACCTTCAACCTCTCTGAACTTCTGTTTCCTTGTTTGCAAAATAAGTCAAATAAGGATGGCAGTACTTTTTACCCACAGAATTATAGTAAGGTTTAAGTTTCATCCTATGCATTATATAATTTTTAAGTTTTTTTTTTTTTTAAGAGTGAGTGCTATAACTGTAGTGGCTCTGTATGGAGACTTGGCTGCCAAGAATTTCTCCTTTAATGTCTTCTTTCATGCCTGAAATACTTTAATTGTAAACAGTTAACCGCACAGAAAACAGATTTTTCCTTAGCAGTTGCCCTATACCAGCCCTGCAAAATGTCTTCATATGTGGTTCTTCAAGACACGAACAATGGAGCTGTATGATTTGTGGGGTTATTTCCTAAGGTCAGTGCATGTCAAAACTGCACAAGGGGTTGGCATTATTCTTTAAGTCTTTATTGTTATTATTATTCATTAAGTATATTGTGTATGCTTTGATGTCTACACATGTGACTCTCATTTAGGGAGCCATTTGTAGGAAAAGTATTTCTCTTTAAACTCTGAAATCACACTCCATGGGGTTGATACTCACCCTGGGAGATGCTTGTGGGAATTGAGAACTATTAAGGAAAAATAGATTCAAGATTCTCATCTCACACTCGCTCCTGGTACTCATTCATTGAGCACCCTTTATATTGAGGTTTCTTCTTTTTTCCCTTTTTTCTTTATTACTCTGCCAGCTATTACTGGATAGCAAACCACTCAAAACTCCATGACTTATAAGAGCTATCAATTATTCTCACACATGTCTCTGCAGGTTGGCTGGGGACAGACTGATCTCAGCTGGACCCAGCTGGGCAGTGCTGTTTCACAGTACAGGTTCCTCTGAGATTGATTCCTTGTTACAGGTTAGGTTCAAGTCTGCTCCATCAGTGTCTGTTGCAGGCTGCAGGGGCTGTCATTGCAATGACAGGGCACAAGAGGCAAATCCAACTGCACAAGAACGTTTGAAGCCTCTTCTTGCTTCATGTCTGCTAATATCTCACTGGTCAAAACAAATACTATTGCTAAACTTAAAGGCAAAGAATTTGGAAATATATATACCTTATGTAGCATGAGGCCAGAGTAGATCATATAGCGAATCCCAATGTGACAGGTGCTGGGAAACAAAGTCCTTCTATGTTGGGGTAAGGAGGTTAAATATTTTGGGGTCAGTAATCTAATCTACCCCTATTGTCAAGTAGTGCATAAATTGAGTTCCTATAAGGGAAATACACATACGTGTGTGGTGCAAGCCTACAGCATAAATAGAAAAGGTCCAATATCCCTCCATAATGGCCATCCTACAGTGTCACATAAAGGATGATGCTCACAGGTCAATACTCCCATACTGAGTCATTTCCACTGTTAAAAAAAGATAACAAAGACTATATGTTCCACAAATTTGTCTCGATTCTAGCTACAGTTCTACTTCCCCCTCCCTTTCAGGAAAGCTTATCTCCCTTGACTTATTTTTCAAAAGCAAATCATTCTTAAACTTTGGCATGTTAGGTACAGTTAGTAACTGATGGCTTGTGATAAAGCTCACAGTGATGGCAGCATGTCATGACCTAGAACCACAACCAGATTCCATTAGCCACTAACCAGTGTTTGGAGAATTGACCACAAAGCAAAGTTCATGGAGTGTTGTAGTGACTTGGGCTTTTTCATTCACTTTTTATCAGTTTTTACTTGGAAGGGAAAGCATTTTTGTGGTAGTAATCAAGACACAGGGAGACCCACTGTTTGATCTTTGAATATCTGGGTGTTTTAACATAATATATGTGAATAATTTCAAAAATATGTGGCTGATGAATAAGGTATAGAAGGCAAGCTGTCTAAGGTGGGAAGACCAAACAGGACATTCCTTTACTCCTTCTGGGCGTGTGTTAGAAGAGCCCCAATATTTCATCAAGTGGTAAAAGTTAAATAATAATACAATTGCAAATAGAAATTTGACTGATTTTTTTTTTAAACGTTGGGCTGCAACTGAGAGGGGCATACTGATTTGAACTTTGCAGTTTGCTATGCCTTCCCTGCTTCCCGGACAATAAATAAGATTACGGTGCTGATTATCAGACAATTACTAAAAGCTACTTTACACATTTCTAGTAGGAAAAACTCAAGGAAAGCAAAATGTATTCCATTGCTAAGGAAACCTCCTGCTTCAGTTGATAGTGAGTTGGAAGACCATAGCTCTACACTGTCTACATCGCAAAGACAAGTCTCACAGTGTAGGCAGCGCAAGTAGCTATTCTGAAATGTAGAGGATTGCTTGTTATATATTTAGGGTTAGTGCTACTATTTAAACTGCAGAATGCAACCAGAAGCAAGCCCCAAAATAACTGTTCACACACTTTGGTGAGTTAACAGATCTACTTCTGGTTACACCCAATACTCCTGGGCATGAAATTCTTTAGAAACGACGTGTGGGCAAGCATGTAGTATCCATGGGGGCTTGATAGCGTCAGGATACAAAGCAGAGTGGTCTCCATGCAGTCCCTTTATGGAAGAAGTCCAGGCAGAAAGATAGAAGGAATGCCTCTTGATTTGTACTGTTTTAACAATTCTAAACCAAACTAAGGAATTGTTCTGTATGAGGCAAATGTTAATTTGATGATGATGATGATGATGATTTGATGATAGAATCCTTGCTGAATACTTGCTCTACTAAGTTGAAAAGTTTGCATTCCAAAAGAGGGCAGTTTAACTCTAAAGTCTATTCTCTTTCATCCAGACTCCGTGTATACAACTGCCTCTTTCTTACTTGAAGAGAATGGCATCTTTTATACAGAAGACTTCCCATTAATTAATAAATGTTGAAGGAATGAGAGAAATAAAAAATCACTTAGTCAAATGCTGCAGTAATAACTAATACCGGCAAGATCCACCGATTAGTGGGCAAAGTTTGAAGAGAATAAGGATAATTCATAGTAACAAAGTATCTCCCCACCCCCAAGAAATTTATCAATTACAGAGAGAAAAATAGTAACTTCACAGTGGAAAAATTGGGCAGATACCACCTCATCCAAGTGACCAAGGTTAGCGTCAGCCACCAGCAGTAAGTCACTTTCATTCTCTGCTACTTTACAGGATGCTCTGAGAGGGCGTCCCTTCTCTGACATTCTTGCCCAGAACATATACCCTCAATCTAAGTATGAAAAAAAAAATCAGAAAGCCAAATGGAGGGATAGTCTACCAGACAACTGACCAGTACTCTTTAAAATTGTCAAAGTCATGAAAGAAAAGGAAAGATATAGGAATTGTTGCAGATAGGAGGAAGTTAAGGAGGCATGATAATTTAATGTAGTAAAGAATCCTAGATTGGATCCTGAAACACAGAAAGGACATTAATGGAAAAAGTTTCAAAATATGAATGAGTTATCGTTGACTTAATAGTATTAAGACAGTGGTGATTTCCTTGTGCCAGGGAAAATGTTAACATTAAGGGTAACTTGGTGAAGGCTATACAGGAACTCTCTGCTATTTTTGTAAATTTTCTGTAAGTTTAAATTAAGAGTTTAGAAATAAAGAAATTAATGGTATAGCTTAAATTAATAAAGACTAGGGATCTTATTGTCTCGTTAAAGACTGTTATCATCTCTTACCCAGAAACACAGATATTCCCAGAATATTTAAAATACCTAATCTCTTGGCCATGAACTTCAAATTACACAGTTTTATTTTAGCATTCAGCTGTCAGTTGGATATGTTATTCCTTTTGATGCTGTCTTATGGAGTTTGGACTCTAAGGACCTTTACTGAAGGTACATCTCTGTCTGATGTTTTCTTTTTTCTGTTTGTTTGTTTGTTTGTTTTTTCTTCCTTCTGTACAGCAATTAGGATTAGTAAAGCCTTCAGTTTTAATTGACTGTGACTCCGGCCATATCTGAGCAATGTTGGAGTCATCTTTAGAGATAATTTCCCAAACACTCTCTTTCAGGGCTCTTAAATTAGGAGAGATGTAAAACATCCCTACTTCTTGTACCTTCCCTGATGCTCCTGCTAGCATGGTGCTCTACAAATAGCTTACTTGCTCAGTCCTAATGAGCCCACATGGTCACAAGCCCCTATCTTTAGACCATCTCTGGGGCCATAAATCACTTACCAAAGCTCATGTGTTATCACTGAATTCTTCACTTGAAACTAATATTGTTTACTAGCTGGAATTCAAATAAAAAGTTGGAAAAAGAATAAAAGCTCATGTGTGGGGTTTTGAGATGGTATTAAGTACTCTACTATATATTGAATACTATATAACTATTTGAATGCCTATGAATATAAAAGTTAAGATTTCCATTAAATTACCAAAATAATTATAAATATAAAATATAAATACATGTTTTACTGATATTAGCTAAAATTATTCAACGTTTCTTATATCTAAGCATTGTTTTACGTTTTTTACCTTGTATTAGCTGATTTAATCCTTAGATGATACTTGATGTCAGTACAGCTATTATCCCCATTTGCCAACTGAGAAAACTGAAGCACAGAAAGGTTAAGAAAATTCCCCTTAGTAATTACAGCTAGTGAGTGGTAGCAGCAGGCAACAGACCTAGGTGATCTGGTTCAAAGATGGTGCCCCCTTGTCACCTGCCCTGGGCCATTGCTTGTACTGAGCAACACGAAAGAAAAGATGAGTGCAGGCCAGACTGTGCCTGTTCAGGTGCCCAATACTGTGACAGAAAGAATTCTTTTCCTACAGTGTGCCCATGCCCACCTGCGATTCTTTCCTTCTAAAGCATCCATGTACTATGTGGCTTACCTAAAGAAGCTAAAGCCTAGTGAGATGGAACAGAATTCAGGACACTGTGACAAGTGAGGCTTGGCTATGATGTTGAATTCTGATGACCAGTCTCCAATAAGGTTCTAGACAGAATTCACTTGATATACATTTATTGAGCACTTGCTGCATGCCATTCCCTGTCTGACATACATAGGATGCCTCAGTGAACAAAAGCAGACACTGATCTCTGCCATCATGGAGATTATATTCTAGAGGTAGCAGATAATGAATAATAACCTTAAAATAAATATGTAAGTATACATTAGTAATGCCATAGGAAACAAGAAATACTGGAGGGTAAGGAGGATACGGGGTGCCAGGCAGGGCCAGTGATGGGCTGCCATTTTAAATAGGGTGTTCAGGCTGGTCTCATTGAGAAGGTTGAAAAGTTAAAGGAGGTAAGGGAGTTAGCAGTATAAAGTACAATCTGTAAAAACGTCCTAAGGTAGGGGTGTGCCTGACATGTTCCAGAAACATCGGGAAGCCAGGGTGGCTGGAGCTGCATGGAAAGAGGTGAGAGAGCGGAGCTGCAGAAGGGGGTCAGATCATGCAAGGTCTCAAGAGTCAGGTTTATGCTGAGTAAATGAGGAGCCAGGGCAGGGTTCTGAGTAGAGAAGTAACCGGGTGGGATTTTCTTTTCAAGGTAGCACTCAGAAAAGAAAACAGAGGCAGTAAACTCATGGACATCGGTTTTAGCGATATTTTCAGAATCTGTCTCCTCAGGCAAGGGCAACAAAGGCAAAAATAAGCAAGCAAACACGACTTTAGTCACACCCCCCCGCACCAACCAGTGGATGCCTGAAGCTGCAGATAGACCGACCTCTGTATATACCGTGTTTTTTGCTTACAGTACCTGCAAGATTTAATTTATAAATTAGATGAACAGCAATATCTAATAAAAAATAGAACAATTATAACAATATACCGTAATAAAGGCTATATGAGTATGCTCTCTCTCTCAAAATAGCTTCCTGTACTGTACTCACCCTTCTTCCTGTGATGATGTGAGATGATCAAACGCCTAAGTGATGAGATGAAGGGAGGGGAATGAAAAGCGGATGCAGTGCACTTCAGGACAGTAAATTCAATTCTATAAGGGCAGGTAAAGTCCAACCTGCCCATTACCATCATGAATGATAATAGCCCAGATCTCTGCAATAGCACCAAATGCCACCACGGGACCTAACGCCAGAGCACAGCATTGGCAGTGACAGACAGCTCGAATAAGCCACAGTAGGGAATGCCAAGTCGCAGAGAGCACTCGGAGCCTCCAGGGTGCTGGAGCAGTACACAAAGCATGGACCCTAGATGGTATTTCATCCCCAGAACAAAAGTTGATCTTGTCTATATTAAAGTGCTTAAACAGATTTGGATGACCATCTGCATAGGCTTTCCTAGCTCTTTTTTCTCCAAATCCCCAAACAGTATAATCGTTCCTTCTTACCATTTATTTAAGTCGCCACTTTGCTCTGAGTTTGCTTCCTTCAGGTCAGGAAATGGTTAAGAGCTATGGGCTCTGGAGTCACACAGTGGAGTTCAAATCCTGCTGCATTTAGAAGCTGTACAGTTGTGTACCAGTTTCCTCATCTGTGAAATGGAAATGACAGCACCTGTTGCATGGAATTATCGTGGAGATTAAATCAATTAAACATAGTAATTTACTGAGTTAAATCATTCAGACTCTGTGACACATAAGGGCTCAAAAAGCTGTTATAATTCTTTATTTTTATATGAAGTGACCCCTATGCGTTATAATTCTTTATTTTTATATGAAGTGACCCCTATGCTATTTAATCTTCTTTCCGGTCTTCTTCATACTGTTTCCTCCTTCTCTAGGAATCTCTTTGGTTTGTTTTTTAATGTTTTTATTTATTTTTGAAGGAGAGAAAGACAAAGTATGAGTGGGAGAGGGACAAAGAGAGAGCGAGACACAGAATCCAAAGCAGGCTCCAGGTTCTGAGCTGTCAGCACAGAGCCTGACGCAGGGCTCAAACTCACAAGCTGTGAAGTCATGACCTGAGCCAAAGTCAGGCGCTTAACCGACTGAGCCCCAGGAGGCCCCTAGGAATCTCTTTGAATGTTAAACTTTAAGCTACGAAAAAGAAAAAAAATGTGTCTTTTTTATTTATAATGCCTTGGCGTACATGTTTGGGCCATCATCATCTACCCTTCTGGCATGAATTTGCAGGTAAATACAAGGTTGCAAATGTAGTGGCATTGACCTTCCTTAAGATCTCAGTCCCGTAGGTGTTTTATCTGACATGCCACTATTTAAACCAATGTGGTCAATAAAGTCTTTCCTTCTCACAGAGATCTGTTCACATGTGAGAGCTTCTGAAGAGTGATGGGCTCAGGGTGATACTCTGTCTTGTGCCAAAAAGCCTTGCGCTGGGGCCAGCACTGGGGAGACTGCTTCCAGAGGAGGGCTGGCTGTGGGATCAGCAGCTCCCCTTGCTTAGTCTTTGACTGCTCTCCCCCATCCCCCATCTTTCTCTCTACTACTTGGGACCATGGATTGGTTACTAATGACATTTTGTATGCAGCATCCACCTGTCTTGGTGTGTGTGTGTGTGTGTGTGTGTGTGTGTGTGTGCGCGCGCGCGCACACATTTTGTTTTAATGGAAGCAAGAATGGAAATAAAGACATCTATAAAACATTGTAACATGCTTACTCTCCCTTCCCTACAGAGATCTTTATCAAATATGAATGTGAAGCAGAGTTGCAATTCTCAGAATTGCAAATGCTGAGAAAGGAAAGGAATGAAAAACAGGCTGAGAAACAGAAGGGGTGACTAGTGGGGGTCTTGGGCAGTTGACACCCAGAGCAGTCGAGAGTGTACTTTCTTAACTGAGGAAAAAGGGGCACAGAAGGAAAATGAGACAAGTGTGGAAGTTATATGTACTCGTTATTTGACAAGGCAATTTGTGCAGGGGTTAGGAGTGAGGGTTACGGGGCATTCCAGAATCCGATTGCCTGAGTTCACATTTAGGCTCCTTTCTTGCCAAGCGTGTAATTGTGGCCACTTAATATTCTTAGAACCTGAGTTTTCTCATTTATCAAACTGTTGTCCATATGGTCGTTGCAAAGACTAAATGCAACTATCACTGTATTGTTATAAGCACTGGTTCTGGAGTCAGTTGTTTTGGTTCAGATCCTGGCTCCGTTCCAGGCTCACCAGCTGTGTGATTTTGAAAGAGTTGCTCAACCTCTCTGTGCATCACGTTCTTGTTTGTAAAATAGGGATATAACACCGAATGATCGGATAACTTATGGGATCAGTCAGAGGATATTTAGCATCGAATACACGTTAGTTGTTACACTTCTGCCTTGATTTTCTAAGTCCTCAGCATGACATCTGACACTGTCAACATTCAGTTATTATTATTATTAATGATTATGATGCTTATTTTCCTCTTATTAAAGCAATACATGCTCATTAGAGAAAATTCAAACATATAAAAAAATAGAAAAATTGAAAGATAGAAAAAATCAAATACTTTGAGCCAACTACAGTGAATTTCTGCTGCATTTTTCTCGGGGTTTTCTTCTGCATAATTTTGTATTGTATATGCATTCATTTTTTACACTGCCTTGTTTACATAGCATCATAGTAGAAGCATTTCTCCATATCATTATAAGCACTTTGTAAGGATCATTTTAATGATAGATCAATGATATATATATGTATATATATAAAACTGTAATTTACTTAAACATTCTGAATTTATATTGTTTTTAAATTTTCAGTATTATAAATATGTTGATACAAACATGTGTATTCATAAGCCCTTTTTTTCCATATCAGAGATTATCTCTTGGGATAGAGTGTGAGAAGTACAAATACTAGGGCACGTTAGTATGTATTTAAAAGTTCTTGGGGCGCCTGGGTGGCTTAGTCGGTTAAGCGTCAGACTTTCGCTTGGGTCATGATCTCGCGGTTCGTGGGTTCGAGCCCCGCGTCAGCCTCTGTGTTGACTGCCAGCTCAGAGCCTGGAGCCTGTTTCAGTCTGTGACACCCTCTCTCTCTGGCCCTCCCCTGCTCATGCTGTCTCTCTCTCTCTCCTAGAAATAAATAAAACGTTAAAAAAAATTTAAAAAAATAAATAAATAAATAAAAGTTCTTGGGGCGCCTGGGTGGCTCAGCTGGTTGAGCATCCAACTCTTGGTTTTGGCTCAGATCATGATCCCCTCCGTTCATGAGATTAAACCCCAAGTCCGGCTCTGCGCTGACAGTGCACGGCCTCCTTGGGATTCTCTCTCTGTGTCTCTGTTCTTCTCCTACTGGCACATGCTCTCTCTCTTTCACTCTCTCAAAATAAAATAATAAACATTAAGAAAAGTTCTCATACATTGCCCAATTAATTTCCAAAAAAGTTATACCAAGTAAAACTACAATCAGAATGTATAAAAATACATCCTTTGAAAAACTGGATGGTATCATTTAAAAAATTTGTTTCAGTTTATAGGTAAGCAGTGGGTTTCCTTTTGCAATAAAGTATCCCTTCTTTAATTACTCATGAGTTTTGAACTTTGTTCTGGGTGTGTATTTAAAGTTTATCTTTTTTAATAACTTGTCTATTTTTCTCTATGAACCATAAAATGTTGGTGTTGTATTTTGTATGATTTCTTTATATACTAAATTATGTTAATCTTTTTTCTGTCTGTAAATATTTATCGTAGGCTGTATTTTAGCTTTGATTGCTGTTTTGACAGGAAGAAGTGCTTAAAAAATTTTTTTGTTTCATAATCTGTTTATTTTGTGTGTGATTCCCTTAACAAAAATATAAAAGTAAATATGCTGGGGCGAATGAGGAGAATCTTCTTGTTTTATGGCTTTACGAATGTAAATTTCTCTAATTCTTTAATCCTTCTGGAGTTAAAGTTATGTTGGCATGTGGCATGAATTAAGGCCAGAAATCGATTTTCTCTTCTAATTTGCTAACCAACTGTCTGAATGTCATCTGTTGAATAATTCTTCCATTCCCCATTGATCCAAGATGCCTTTCTTATCATAAATTAAGTTTTTATACATTCTAGGGCTATCTGTTCTGTTCTATTGATTTGCTTGTCCATTTCTACACCATACCATGGTGTTTTATGCCAGAGGCCGGCTCCAGCAGGTCCAGGGGTCCCTGAAGGATGCACGGTGTTAGTGAGAGAGAGAGTGAGAGCCCCGAGATTCTTTCTGATCATCAGGCAAGCATCTCTGTCCTGTCAGTTTTGGTGTCTTTATTTATAGGTCAAATGTTAACATAGCATCAGAAAAAGGAATTTTTACAATGGATATTTCTCTGTGATAAAATGTTTTTGGAAAATGTACAGAAACGGGTTTTACAGAAGTATTCTTGCAAAGCTGCCCCAATTATAGTGAGGTTGAGTAACTAAGAAAATAACAGGGTGTCCACATTTTAATAACACTAAGATTAAGTTATAGATTTGTAGACCCTCTTATCCATCCTCATCACAGTTGCCAGAGTAAGGGAAGGTGTTTGTGCAATGTAGGCCTTAGTGAAGGAAGGGGCTGCTACACATCATCAGTTAGCAAAGGTGTATGTAGTGACTTATCTTCTGTCCTTATCTGTTCCTTCTCTCTAAGTTAGGCTCTTTGTCTCCGGGCAAGACTTAATTTTCCAGTTATATTCTTTATGGCACCGGAGAGCCAACCTTACCTTTAAAGAGTTTAGCTCATTTCCAATACACAGAATAGCCTCTTTGAGTGCATTTACCTTTGTGTCTAGTTTTATGATTTCTTGAATAGCTAGGGCATGAGAGACATTTTTGGTTAGTTGATTTACATGTTGAGCTGTATGAACATCTTGGACTAACGCAACAGTAGAAACAGGATTGTACATGTAAAGGTCAATCTTTTATGAGTAAGGGTCATTAGCCTGTTCGTAGCTCAAGGGAAAGTATAGAGGGAAACAGGACCTGCTGGAGACATGATGTCCGTTCCCATAATCAAAAGAAGAAGTTCCCACAATAAGTTCCTTCACAAGGTGCAATCATCATACCAGGGCCAGAATAAGAGGACAAGTCATTCCTGATATTGATCAACAAGGTGCCTTGGGAGTCGGTGCTCAAGCAGAAATAATTGAGTGGGGGTGGGGGGTGGATATCGGTCGTATTTGAGTGGCAAGAGACCGTGCAAACTTGCTTCAACCTCACCAGGAGTTTTCTCGACTAGTGGGCTCAGAATGGCTCCCAACATCTCCTCCTTTCTTATTTTTGAAAAGAAGAGTGTATAGCTCAACGTTTACCCCTGTGAAAGTTTCGATTAGTTATTTTAAAGAAACAGGGAACAAGGGACAAAATGAGCATCAACACTCCAGCCACCATGCCAACATTTGTCAGGAGAGAAATTAGCCCTTGAGAGCTGAAGAGATTCTGTAACCCTTGCAGAAAGGAGGTTGCAACCTGTGAAGGAGAGACAAAGGTAGAGGATGCATTAATAGCTTAAATCTGTTCATGAAGGGTTTGAACATCAATGCTAAAATTAGAATGATTACAAATACCAAGTAGGTGATTTTGGATATTATCCCAATGTGGATGGTATCATTATGTTGGAGAGGAGTATCACAGATCCAATTATACTCCTTGTGACATCGAAGGGTGAAAAGAGTTTTAGAAAACTTAATTCATTTCCAATAAACAGTACTGCCTCTCCTAAGGCATTAATCTTAGCGTCCAATTTCCTGTCAATTATTTCTTGAGTGGCCAATGCAAAAGAGACATTTCTAGTTAATTGGTCAACGTGTTGGGCTGTATGTACCTCCTGGACAAGGGAGACAGCCGAAGCAGCCACAGACCCTATGATGGCGATCAGTGCAGTAATGCCCAATATTAGAGCTCCAATGAAGTGCCTTGGGTATGAGAGCATAATTAACCTCCTGTACAGACTGTAACTCATAATCATCATACCAAGGAAGGGTCAGTTTAACAGAATCTTCCATTGAAGGTGCCCTGCTCTTACAAATGGGGTCTAGATTAGAGGCAGTTAATACCAATAAAACATAAGAGGAAGGTGAGTATAAACAGGAACTTTTCATTGTTTCCCCAGCTTTCTGGGCAAATAGTGACAATTTATCTTATCAGACTGGTGATTCCTCAAGCTTCTGCCTTGCATAGACCAGCCAGCTTCCCGGGTGTGGCTGGAGCGGGGCTGGAGATATCAGGGGACAGTGTCTTTTTGAGGGTCAGTTTAAGCTGGTTGACTGGATCTGGATCACCTCGCCAGGTTGAAGGTTCTTGTGAATTGGCCTACTTAACTCCAGGGTGATGGGCCCATGGGGTGACGCCTGAAACTTTAAGAGCTGAATCCTTTGCTTATGTATATATGAGAAGTACACCTCTAAGTTTTTGAAAGGGGTGACCCTCATCCTTTGAATAAGCAATCAAAGATCTGATAAAGATGAAACTTAAAACCTTTGGTTTCCTTGGCAGCCAAAAAAGAAAACCTTTGTTTATAGTGTCTTATCAAGAGCAGGTTAACAATCCAAGAAAACCTTGTCTTTTGAACAGAGAGAAAAGTGGAGTTTTAACCTTATATCAGTGTACTTTAAAAATTCCATTCATCTCAGCCTTAGTCTATCCTGAGCACACAAAAAATTCCTTTTTAAAGATTTCCCTTCATGAACCTTCTACTATTTTCCTTTGCCTTTAAACTTTGTCCCAAAGCCATTTCTCTCTAAACAATCAGTCTCATTTAGGACAAAATTACTTTATTACATATTTCTCATTTTCCTATATACAGGGTTGCTTTCCTCATTTTCCATCAGTCTTAAGTACACTTAGCAGAATTTTAACTCTTAGGAAACCTTAGTCTCCAATTGACGACTTAGTAACCAACTGAGAGGTGTTTATACAAGAATTTTCTAGATGGTAAATTCAGGAACCAAGTAAGCACAAACCATGTTTTCCAATGGGTCCAAATAGCCTTACTTTCTCTGCACTAGGAAGTTAAAAACCCAAACCTGTGTTCAGTAATCAAGACCTAGACTTCCTCGGAAGTGCATTTTGCTCCTTGCCCTCGAGGGTGGGAGGAGGAGCCAATGTGCTGAGGCACTGAGGATGGCATAGGAACCAGTTATGGAGACCACACCCAAGTTGGTTCGGAAACAGGACTGGGAAGGAAAGGCAGAAGAGGCAAGGTGACAGCAGGAGGCAGAGAAAGAAAATTCCCAGTTTTAACTTTTGTCAGCTCAGACAGAGGAACAGAATTCAGGTTTCTTTTGGTTTTCTCCTTAGGCAGTCCATGTCAGCCTGGAGGAGACAAGGAATTCCCCGAAACAAAAGGAGTTTCAGCAGCTCCTCGGGAATATTCCTTAAAGTCCCTGTCCCAAGGTAGACTAACCACAGTTGGCTCCAATTATAGCCGTTAACTTGGGAAATGAATGAGTGAGAAACCCTCACATCTACTAGACAGAAGAACAGAGAGAGTTAACGTCCTCTTCAGTCTGATTTTATCTCAGTCAGACCAATAAGGTCCCCTTCTCGAGGTTTCTTCCGATATCGGCTGGGTTTGGGAGCCCCTTTCCAATTCAGGCACTCATCCTTTCAGTGTCCCTGTTTAATCTGGGAATCCGGTTACAACATGCCAGATGTGGCAGATGGTTGAGGCCACCCTACATCAAAAGTGAGCCATTTTAATCTACATAATTTTATAGTTTTCCAAAAATCCCTTCTTTGTACAGTCCCAATCCCATAATGCTCCTGTGAGGCGATGTTGCAAAGACAGATAAAAGGGTTGGGGGTGCCCCCTCTAATGAGGAGACCGGTCAGATGCCAGTCTGGCCATGTCCTGAAGGAACTTAGGTGACGCTTAGCTTTGTGACTTACAATTGGAAACTATTCCGATGCCGCCATAGACTATGCCGTTCACCATGGAATCGCAGATGGGCCCACTCAGACTGTGTAGGCTTTTTGGGACCTTAAGGGTGCCCACCTGGGGAGCCACAGAATCGAACCTGGCAGGCAAGCCAGACCGAGTCGCACATTCACACTCACATACACACCAGAGGTTATTACATTCCCTCCACAGAATTCCTACAGATGAGACTAAAAATGATGACAATGAAACAAGACAAAACAGGTACAGAAGTTTACACAAAACAGGTTTACACGTTACAGAAGTGGCCACACCGATGTCTTGGTGCACCCCAGGGTGGGAAGTAGCTGCGTCCAGCCTTCCACTTAATCCCCCAGACAGAAGCACATGTGCATTCAGAATTCAGATGGTAAATTGACTTACCTCCGGAGGTTAGGAAAGATGACTTCCACAGATTAACTGGGGCCGTTTTGGGGGTGGCAGTAAAGACAAGAGTGTTTTCCCAGGTCCCAGGACATCTTCAGGAGCCAAGGAGGGTGCAGGCAAATGAGAGGAATTTGGAGGTCTGGGGTTTCCATAATCTCTCTGAGGCCTCCAAAATATTATGCTGAGAGACACAGAGACCAACAGAGACCACTGAAGCCGAATTAAGGGAGTCTTTATTATTGGCCGGGACCACATGGAGTTAACACAGAACACTAAGTGTGCAGCCCGTAATCTACTTGTGTTAAAGGTTGTCATGAGCCTGTCTGACCGGTTTAAGGGCCTGGTCAACAAACTTCACAATTATCTGCTATCTATCCAGGACAGCTATAGGGGATGGGAGGCCTGGTTGAAGAGAGCCCATAGTTTCCATAGTAACATTTATGGCCCTCAGATCTTGCAACATTCTCCATTTTCCAGATTTTTTCCCAATAACAAAAATGAGAGTATTCCATAGACTATTGGAAGGCTCGATATACCCTTCCTTAAGCTGTTGTTCTATAAGTTGTCTTGCTGCTGCTATTTTTTCAGAAGTTAAGGGCCATTGTTCTACCCAAACAGGAGCATCTGACTTCCAGATTATTGGGTCAGCAGCAAAAGGAACAATGGCCCCTTCTACAAGTTTGGCTAGCCAATTCCTTTTTTGTCCAATTTGGGTTTTATATTTATGGGAGTTATTATACCCTGTTGTGTTTGGTCCAACCTTTCGTTGGGATGAAGCCCCATTTGTAACATCTGACTAGTGACCTTGTCATCTGTGGTGTAAAGCAGCATTCCCATTTGGGATAAAATGTCCCATCCCCATAAAGATAAAGGAATGGAAGGAATAACATAAGGACAAAAAGTTCCTGAATTGTTTTCCTCATCTGACCACTTTAGAATTTGAGAGCTTTTTGCCACATTAGAAGCCTGTCCTATACCCACGAGAGTAGCAGGAGCATTCTGAGTTGGCCAAGCTGAAGGCCAATCTTTTCCTGCAATGCAGGAGACATCTGCTCTGGGGTCTAGAAGTCCTTGAATAGGAATTCCCTGAATCTGTAATACTTTAGTGGGCCTAGAGGCTTTAATCTCCTGTATCCAAAAGGCCATATCACTAGAGCCAAAGCTTCCTCCTCTGGGGGCATTAGTGGCATCCTTTCCTATGTGATAATAATGCAATAATAGTAACTGGGCAATTCTCTGATCCTTAAAAATTTGCTTGGTGGAAGAAGGAGGAGAGACCAGCACCTTGATCTCTCCCTGATAATCAATGTCAATGACCCCAGGGATTATAGTGATCCCCTGAAGGGAGATGGAGCTCCGTCCCAGGGAGTAGGGGCTCCTTTACATTGGTGGGAATAGTTATAGGAGGTGAATCAGAGGTTAGTATTGTGCTGGTGGTGGAACGGAGGTCCAGTCCTGTGCTGCCTGGGGTTGCCCTATAGAGCTCAGAGACTGATTGGAATTGGCAAACCGATTGAGAGGGCCGAGGGATGTGGCCCCAGTTAGTGTCGGGGTCTGGGGCTGGCCCCTCAGTCTGTTTCCCTGGTCCTGAGATATTTGGAGATTGGTTCCCAGTGGTTGGCCATTTTTGTGAAATTTAGATTTACAATCTTTGGCCCAGTGAAAGCCCTTTTGACACCTAGGGCATATGGTCCTGGGCAAGTTGTTATTATTTATCACCTGAGTAACAGGTGCGGCTGGCAGAGAGGTAATTGCCTTTTTTGTAGGGCAACCCTACTGAAATGTCCCACTTGCCCACAAGAATAGCAATTAAACTTTGAGGATGGTTTTTCATTCTTAGTACTTCCTGACTGTCCTAAAGACCTGACATATTGAGAGTATGTTTCTCCCTTTAAAGCTGCTGCAATAGCCACACCCTGGATAAAGGCAGGACTTACATCTTGTCGGGGACAGTCCCCGAGTCCACCTTGTTATCGTTTGGGGAGGCAGTGGGCTTAAAGACTCCCCAAGTATCTTTTGAGGGGTCTAACACCCCCTTTATGATGGTCAATAGAGAAAGAATTTTGACCGGGATTTTTTTTTTTTTAGGTCCTTGTGAAATATAACATTGTCTAATTTCGTCCCCAAGGTTATTCCAGTTATCTATGATGACAGGTCCTTCCTGAGAGAACCAGGGACACAGTTTTTGAACAAAATGTAGAAATCGAGAAACTTTTTGAGGGGACACATTTACCCCTTTTTTTGTAAGCATGTTCTGTATTACATCTATAAAGAGTCTTCTTTCCTTAGACACTTTATGGCCCATAACTTCTCAAAAAAACCAGTTCTTTGCCTATCCACCAACTAACCATACTTATGCAGGGGGGTCTGCAGCACCCTACAGTGGAATCCTAACCATCCCGACTAATGCAATGAAAACAACATAGTTTAAAGAGATTACCTTTCAGGTCCGATGTTTGGGTTCTGCTTGCCGGAGGCCGGCTCCAGCAGGTCCAGGGGTCCCTGAAGGATGGACGGTGTTGGCGAGAGAGGGAGCGAGAGAGCTCCAAGATTCTTTCTGATCACCAGGCAGGCATCTCTGTCCTGTTGGTCTTGGTGTCTTTATTTATAGGTCAAATGTTAACATAGCATCAGAAAAAGGAATTTTTACAATGGATATTTCTCTGTGATAAGGTGTTTTTGGAAAATGTACTGAAACGGGTTTTACAGAAGTATTCTTGCAAAGCTGCCTCAATTATAGTGAGGTAATTAACTAAGAAAATAACAGTGTTCACATTTTAATAACATTAAGATTAAGTCATAGGTTTGTAGATCCTCTTATCCATCCTCATCACAGTTGCCAGAGTAAGGGAAGGTGTTTGTGCAATGTAGGCCTTAGGGAAGGGGTTGCTACACATCATCAGTTAGCAAAGGAATACATAGTGACTTATCTTCTGTCCTTATCTGTTCCTTCTCTCTAAGTTAGGCTCTTTGTCTCCAGGCAAGACTTAATTTTCCAGTTATATTCTTTATGGCACCGGAGAGCCAACCATACCTTTAAAGAGTTTAGCTCATTTCCAATACACAGAATAGCCTCTTTGAGTGCATTTACCTTTGTGTCTAGTTTTATGATTTCTTGAATAGCTAGGGCATGAGAGACATTTTTGGTTAGTTGATTTACATGTTGAGCTGTATGAACATCTTGGACTAACGCAACGGTAGAAATAGGATTGTACATGTAAAGGTCAGTCTTTTATGAGTAAGGATCATTAGCCTGTTCATAGCTCAAGGGAAAGTATAGAGGGAAACAGGACCTGCTGGAGACATGTTGTCCGTTCCCATAATCAAAAGAAGAAGTTCCCACAATAAGTTCCTTCACAAGGTGCAATCATCATACCAGGGCCAGAATAAGAGGACAAGTCATTCCTGATATTGATCAACAAGGTGCCTTGGGAGTCGGTGCTCAAGCAGAAATAATTGAGTGGGGGGTTGGATATTGGTCATCATTTGAGTGGCAAGAGACCGTGCAAACTTGCTTTAACCTCACCAGGAGTTTTCTCGACTAGTGGGCTCAGAATGGCTTCTAGCAGTTTTAATTATAGTTGAAGGGTGTTTTAGGTCAAATATTTCAAGAGAGAGCCCAGCAAAACCAGAACAATTATGTGAATGTGAGAATAGGGGCAGTAGATAGTTACAGATACCTGATAGTTTTGCTCTCCTTGACCATCTTTGTGCCTTGAACAGGTCACCAGGTGATTGGTTTTTGTTGAAGGGAGATAGAGACTCAGAGATGTAGGTGTGGAAGACTCCCAGGTACTAGCTCCCCTGGACAAAGCCTAGATGGGTACCACTGTTGTTTGCTTCTCTAACTCTGTTGTTTCTGGGTTCCACTTGAATACCCATTTCTCCACTAAATGACATCATCTTTCTTCACATCTTGGTAGAATGCTGTTGCTCATCCATAAAGATGATCTGTTGACTAGTTGACTATGGTAGACCTGTTGACTGTAAAGGAGCCATGTGACCAGTTCTGGTCGATGAAGGTAAGTGGTGGTGGCATGTGTCATTATAGGAAGAAGTTTGAAGAGCCAGCACACGTTTCACTAAGCTTCAGATAGAGGCTACTCCATTAGCCTGGGCCCCACCATGGGCGTGGCATGGAGCAGAGTTGCAGTCAACCTTCAGTGGTTTTGTAGAATGAATAGTAAAACAGTCCTACTGTTGTAAGCCACTGTGTTTTGGAGGTCATTTATTACATCAGCATGACCTAGCCTATTCTGACTGATTGCAGGAGTCCAAATATTTAAAAACTGTTAAATGTTTTGTTTATTTTTGAGAGAGAGAGAGAGTGTGTGAGCAGGAGAGGGACAAAGAGAGGGGTGGGGAACAGAGGATCCAAAGCGGGCTTTGCTTTGACAGCAGCAAGACCGACATGGGGCTTGAACTCACAAACCGCGAGATTATGACCTGAGCCAAAGTCAGATGGTCGACCGACTGAGCCACCCAGGGGCCCCAGGAGTCAAAATATTTAACAATTTGTATGGCATGCACATTGACTAATCAAAAAGGATGCCAGCTAGGAGGACACCATGGAGGTGCATCCAATGTGACCGTTAGCCTTGTACTTCATTTAAGTCTTGTCACCCCATCTCTTAAAGGTGACTTTGCATATCTCAAATCTCACTTACTGGGTATTGATTTTCTTACTTAGATTTTATAGTCTTTAGTGATCCTAGCCCCTCTTCTCTTCTACCTACGGCATGATTTGCTGTGTTGGACAGTGGACAACTCTTCATATTTTATTGCTTCAGTTCTGTTTATCTTTTCTTCTTACTGATATCATAAGTCCTGATAGGCATGGTCAATGTTTATGCAACTTCAGTCTCTTCACAGGTTATAGCACCATATTAGACCTTCCTTCATTCATTCCACAAATATGTACTAAAAGCATTTTATGTTTCCAAAGCCTATGTGTGAGACGCTCCTATTATATTTTCTTAATTGACCATAAAAGCTTATTGCTCCTGATTGAACAGAGCTGCACAGGTGATGTGGGACTAGGAGCTTTAGAGAAGAGGAAGGGTATTAGCACCTTTCATAACAAGAGGGAGTGCTATAAGCCTAGTGATTGAAACACTTGGCTTCTGGACTCCAACTGACTTAGACTTCTAACTGTCACTTATGAAGTATATGGTTAGGGCACGTTATTTGATCTCTCTCAGTTTCACTTTTCCCATCTGTAAAATGGGGATCTTTGTGAAGATTAGGTGAGAAAAATATGTATAAGGTATTTAAGCACAGAATCTGGTCCTTAAAAACCAGGTTTTTTGGTTTTTATTTTATGATCAGTATAGCCCAGAAGTCTCTGGGGGCCCTTGGTTGGTTCATTACATTTGGCACTAAAACTCCATGAATTTCTCCTCGAGGCTCTGGAGTTGTCCTCCATTCATGGTCTGTCTCCCTCACCTTGGAATACTACTTAACCTCTCAGATTCCTCACTCCTAAAACAGGAAAATAGTAGTGCCTAATTCACAGGATTGTTGTGGGGACTGGTGATTAATATATCCAATGCCTCTGGAACTGTGCCTAACATATAATAAGCAGTCCATAAACCCATAACCTTTCTCAATTGCTAATGTCCACTTCCACCTTTTTTATGTTTGGCCATTTTTATTAAAGATTTGACCTCCCCTCTACCCTGCAGTCTCAATTCCATTACATTTTCTTGCCTTCCAAATCCCAGGTTCCCACAACATGCCCCTTGCTACCCTCCTGAAGCTCCTTGAGACATGAGGTCCAGTTTAGCTGCTCCCACTATTTCTCTTTTGAGGAATAACTTGCTAGGTCAGTTTGTCCCTAACCCCGAATCTGGAGAAATAAAATTTTCTCGTGTTACTTTTTTTTCTTTTTTTTTAAAGATATTTTATTTATTTCTGAGAGAGAAAGACAGCATGAGCAGGGGAGGGTCAGAGAGAGAGAGAGAGAGAGAGACAGAATCGGAAACAGGCCCCAGGCTCTGAGGTGGCAGTCAGCACAGAGCCCGATGTGGGGCTCAAACCCACGAACCGTGAGATCATGACCTGAGCCGAAGTCGGACACTTAACCGACTGAGCCACCCAGGCGCCCCTCTTGTGTTACTTTTTAAGATGTTACTCAGAAAGGGCAAGGGAAGACTTGCTGTTTGGGTCCAAAAGCAGAATAGGCAAGATACACAAGTGAGAGGATTTTTGCCAGCAGCTCCTGCCCCCGTAGTAAATGTTGCCATCACCATTCCAGTGGCTATTTCATCACACGGTCCTGGGAGTGATTACAAATATCCGTTTTGGAGTCAAAGAGTCCTGGTGTCACATCCTGGCTATCTTCCTTCTGTGGTCTTGAATGTGTCAGGAATTGACTGTTCTCCGTTTCCTCATTTTAAAAATGGGTATAACAATATCTATCTTGCAGAGCTATCAGAATGAGCTTCATAATGTCGGGGCCATGCAGGTGCAGCTGCGAGTTGCAGACTTCTGGGATCCAGCTGGGGATCACCTTGTTAATCATGACTGGTTGAGGATGCAACGGCCTGGGGGCAGAAATTCCATCCTCTGTCCTGGCCTAGTGCCCAGCCTGGGGTGGGGTCTGTATCTTCTGGGAGGGGAAATCTTTTTCCTATTTGCCCAAACTATCCTTTGAAGTTGGCTCTGTGGCGGAAGGGACTCTCCTTATAAACTGCTGAAGAGTGTCAGGCTTCAAGACGGTGGTCCATAAATTTCAGCTATTGCCGTCTTTCACAAATTCACATGCCCAAACTATGAACCTACTGTCTTTAAAGTTTCCAGCATTCTGGGATAAGGAATACAGTTGGTTTCTTTTCCATTTTTAAGTCACTATTACTCTCTATTCTCTGAAGGACATGCTATTTTAAGCCTTTTGTGATTGTGCACATGCTTACATAGCTCATTGTTCATTAAGCTTCGTGTTCTGCCAACCCAGTGGCTTCACCAGGAAGGAACCTGGTGAAGGTTTGGCAAAATGCTTTCTGCCACCGTCCTGAAAATTGCAGAGGCCAGATTCTGGCACAGCACGAGGGAAAGGTGGAAGCTGCTTCCTAAGGCATTTGTAGCCTAGACACCCTTCAGCAGATGTGCTGCCATCTGGTGCAGAGCCCGAGCTGCCAGGAGGACACAGGAAAGAAACCTGATCCTGAGAATATGAGAAAGAGCGATGAATTACAGGGCAGCCCAGTCCCCACAAGTGGGCAGTTAAGGATGATACCAGCTTTTTTGTTGTTGATTTGCAGGACCTGGGAAGGTCATGCTCCAGGAGGGAGAGAGCCTTGCCTAGTGAAAGGGGCCCTGCCTGAGATAAAAGGGTCTCCCACTGGGATCATGATGAAAAAGAAGAATCTGCATTTTTTTCTTCAGTAATTTTATTTCTTGAATTAATTTTAGATTTCTAGAAGAATTGTGGCAAAAGTGTAGAGTTTCCATACGTCTCAGTCAGCTTTTCCTAACGTTAATGCCTTACATTGCCGTGATACATTCATCAAAATTAGGATATTAACATAAGTACAATGCTATTA